AAGGCCAAGAAGGAGAAGTCCAAGTCCAAGAAGGAGAAATCCCCAAGGGAGCGTTCGCCTTCGCTTAGCAGCGCCATGCAGTGCTCTCGGCCAGCTCCGAAGCGCTACTTTCGCTTCGATCTCACCGTGGGCACTCCACAGGACGTTGCCGACGACTTGGAAGCCCTCTTCAAGGTAGCGGCGCTCAAGGACGTAAGCGTGCACGAATTGTCCTACCCATGGACCGACTCCGAGGTGTGGTATGATCAGGACGCCTTCTTCCACATCCACGTTGAGCACTGGCGCTGGTGGATGAAGTTCCGTCCGGCGTTCTTCGACTGGCAACTGAATATTCCATACCGGTCGCAGCAACTCCTAAACAGTCGTCGAAAGCTCAAGATGCAGGCTCACATTGCTCGGATCAAGTTCCTCAGCATGTGCATCGAAACGTGGGGCTATTTCGGCTTCTTGAGTCAGTTCGAGGCCTGTACTAGCAATCGCCGACTCATGTGGATGGGTGGGCAGCCTGGGCGGAACACAGGAGACGCCAAATCGTATTACGGTCCGGTCATCGAGAACCTCCGCGAGCTGTTGCGGCGTGATCCTGACGCTTACACGGGGAAGATGAAGAGCGCTCTCCAACCGTTCCGTCTCGATGAAGGAGGATTCACCAATGTGACTTCACTTTTAGTGAATCTCGGAGCCCTAGATCCGAACAATCCCAAGAAGGAACATCGGTTGAGCGATCGAGCTCTAGCTCGAGTCCTTCATGACATCATCTCGCGCCGTAAGGGTCAGTCGTGGTGGTTCGGAGTAGGATGGCCCTGGGATAGTCTTCGAAACTGTGCCAGAATTGTCCAGCGTGAAGTGAAAGAGGCAAAAGCCTTGCGCGAAGGCACGTACCGGGAGCCCACAGCTCCAGCCTACGATGAACGCGAATTACAACGTACGGGTTGGAACCACTTCATGTTTTCGGACGCTACTTTCGCGGCGAGAGGGCCAGGTGAGGTCCGAACATCCAGTGTAGGTGAGGACGAAACCGAAGAGAAACCACCGGCTACAGCGGCGTCTACGAGCGAGGCCACTCCTGTCTCCGCAGAGGACGAGCCTCCTACATCTTCCGCAACTAATAGGGAGCCCCCCAGCCAGCCTATCAAACGGTCGACGTCCTCTCCGAAGCATTCCTCGGCTCCTTCACGCGCTACTCGTTCGCTGTCGCCAATTCCACGGACGGGGTCAGTAACCGTGTCTACTTCGAGTTCTATCGCCAGGGCTCGACGTTCGGCTTCCGTAGCTCAGCGTTCTGGAGCCCGTCGTTCTTCGCTAGTAGGTCAGAGGCGATCTCGCAGTCCGACACCAGAGTTATCGCCGCCCGCTAAACGCACGCGTTCAAAAGGTCGGGCTGACGGGGACGTGCCGAAGTCGAAGAAGTAAGCTCGCGAAATTAGTTGAAGACAGTCCCATCTCAACGGCCCGTATTCATGCAGTCCAGTAATTGAATGCACCGATCCTTATTGCTTTTGCTATTGTCTTAGTCGTGATGGTTCCAGGCAGATACGGGGTACAGAGCCCCACACAGCAAGCGTGTTCATTGAGTACAATCCAAAATGTAGGTCGAAATTAGAAATCCAGAAAAATCGAAATCCATAAATCCAAAGAGAGAGAGAGAGAGCAAATCGGAATTTCCAGGTACGGTCCGAAGTCGAGTCACGTAGAGCTTCGTGGAATGAGGTCCGATAGGCGAACAGAACGCTAGGCAGGTAAAGATCCCAATCGTCCTGAGACTTACGAACGAACAAGCGTAGCATGCTAAGGAGAGTGCCATTGAAGCGTTCGACCAGTCCCTGAGTCTGGGGGTGATAGGCAGCTCCATATAGTTTCTTGATTCCCAGAGTCTCGTAGAAAGACCGTGCTAACCCAG